AATTACGCAACATTACTTCGGGTTGGATCATTATCTGGATCAACATACAAACTAGACTCCATAAAGGTCCAACAAGCACAAAACACATTAAATAAATAAATGAATAAGATCCACAAGACAAATTAAATTGGGTAACACGGAGTGATTACTTATTGATTCGAGTAAGGGATGCTCTTCGATGACACAAATCACCACTTGTATCTCTTTCAGATTAGATGATTCCTGTTAGCATAGAAGAAAAGATTTAGGACAATCCTAATTTCTAAGGAAATAGAGTTTTAAAATATTGGAAATTTAGAGGTTGTAAAAGTGCTTAAAATGGTTGCAACTATGATTGGTTGTCGTACATGTGAGCTGTTTCCTGATTAAATTCTCAAACTCTTGGAAAGAATCTAATCAGCTTGGCAGAAACGGTAACGGTATAGAACATTTGAACTCTGGAAGATATTGCATGCAAGATGGGTTTTAACTGCAACTCACGGGACAAAAGTGAGGAGCTTCAGCATTTGGGTTAACCGAAACTTAAAACCCCGGTTGTCCTTCAAGTCATGGATACCCATTCTATCTGAGCAATACTGCTCTGGCCAAAAAATAAAATAAAAAATATGGACCAAATGACGTGACGTTAATGTGGTGAATCTTCTTCTCTTTTAACTCGTTGGCCTGAACAAAAGTTGCCTCCAATGAATTCTAATCATCACGTTAGGATTCTGGTAATTCTAAGCAATACATGGAACAAATTTTGAGTGCTAGAGCACTTCCATTAGTACCTCCAACCCTCTTTGGACATAAGTTTTTTTTTTCCACCCTTAACGACTTTTCCGCTCATGCTGATGAGGACTTGGAATTTGGTCTTATCAACTGTAGTTAGCTTACCCAGATTTTTATAATCTGATGGCAACACAAAGGCACACCAAGAACACTCTTGGCAAGATTCGTGACTTTAATTGTAGAGTTGTACAATTAGGTGTGGTCATTCAACACAATTACTCCATGCATTTTTCTCTGAATTCTTTCCCCCTTCCCTATAATCAGGCTCAAGCTTGAATTGCAGTTTTCCCCTCCGTCAAGTTGAACTGTTTTTTTTTTTCCCTCCTTTATCATTTTGATAACTAAAATACCCGATGTATTATTCAATGGTAGTGTGAATATTCTTTTTTTTTTTTTTATCATACTTGATAATTGACTAAATTGTTTAAGCACCATAAATGCTATAGATCTTCTAGATTTGTTGTTATTTTGCAAAAATCTTTTCAAGACAATGCAAGTAAGACTGACAAATAGGTCATGCTTTATGGTGTTTCTCTCACGTTTCGTTTCAGGTATGTTCGCACTAAAATTGTTAGAATCATATTCAATCTAATTATTGTTGTGTCCTATCACATGTAGTTAGATTTATGGTGATCATTTATCAAGATAACATTGACTTAGTTCACCTGATTATGGTTCAAATCATTAAAGTTAAACATGTTTTAGATAAATTTATATTAAATTGACAAAATTGATATGACAAAAGAATGGGAGATGGGGGGGGGGGGGGATGGAGGAGCACATAGGGTGTAGAAGGAGAGGGATATACAAGGGTAAGGGAGAGAGGAGCATATGGACTGTTGTGTTTTCGATTAATGGGCATTGGAGGACGACTCTTGAGAAGTTGAGACATTGAGAATTGACACTTACCACCAGGGAGTGCTGGATGATCGAACGAAACAGCTGGTTGATCGGTTGCTCCCGGTGTACCTCCATGTCAGCGTCAAAATGGAGAGTTTCACTCACGGCATAGGCCACGTGAGGATCACTAACAATGGAGTCGTTAACCCGGATCGGCCTATTCATTTGATCCCGGGCCTGGGGGCGCCACTCCTCAGCTACTATCGTCGGTGTTGAAGGAGAAGGGAGAATTTGTTGTTGTTGTTGCTGTTGTTGTCGTTGTTGTGGAAGGCCCCTGCCTCGGCTTGCTCCGTCATATCTTTGTTTGGTTCTCATCTCCTCTTCGATCAGAGGATCCCGGTCACGGACCAACCCCCGACCAAAAGACGCAAGAGAAGGAGGAATGCCGGTGTTGGCTCTCGGAGGGGGGGGGGGGAATGTTAGTACTGGCTCTTGGAGGGGGAGGGGGAACGCCGCTTGCAGGTCCTGATCCCCTGCCCCTCAGAGCAGACCTCCTGTTCAAGAAGTTCAAATCGATTCAGGACTGGCGCGACATCGCAGCCTCGAACGCATCTTCTTGGTCCAAACTTTGCAAAATATTGAAGTCTAGCCAAACTTCCCTTCCGGCCGTGCTGGTCTTTGGATGAGCGATGGTGGAGGCTTCCCTGACTTCGGCCGCTTCTTCTACCCTCTCTACCTCTGCCTCTGTGGCCCTGTTAGGATCCTCTTCTAGATCTGGTTCGAGGTCTTGTTCCGTTACTTGCTTAAAAAGTTCGGACCACTTGGAGGGATCGTATGACTGAGGGAGTTGAGAAAATTTCTTATAACCAGATGTGTAGCCCAAAAGTACGTGTCTTGCTCGGCCAAAACCGTCACCGATATACCCCCAGATAGTTACTAGGTCGGAAAAATTTACAAGGTGCCGAGCAGGGGGAGCAGTCTCCCGAGAAGAAACGTCTGCACAAGAGAAGATTGTCAGCACTTCGTTATTTAAGCATTAAAAAGAAAAGAAAACTGAGGAAAGTGGAACTCGACGTACTTGTGCTTCGCCACTCCCTGGGGCAGGACAAACGATCATACTCGAGGCCGACTCCCTCTCCCAGGCTCCACTGAAGACCAGAAAGTCATCCTTGTACCCCTTGTTTGAATCGAAAAGATGAGTGACGAGGTACATAGAGGTGTCCCGGGCTTTGAGGTAGAAGGCTCCATTTGATGACACTCTCATCAAGGTGTAGCAGAAGAGGATGTCCTCGAGGCCCAGGTTGACCCCGAGACGCCTATTCAGTTCTACTACCCCCATGATTATCCTAAAAACATTAAGGGCACACTGACCCGAGAATAGATGGAACCTACAAAAAAAATTGAAGGACCAGCGGAGGGAGAGGGAACTAGATCCCTCCTTCCATGATTGCCTTAGTATAAAAAGGCATGGCGTCCTCGGCGCTGACGTTAGGACGATGACGGACTGAGTTAAAATCGTCTACATCAACGTTATTGGGGATGTCATAATGAGCTTTGAAATTTGCTATTTGTTGGGCACCCTTAACTGTCCATTTCCTCGGCCTTGAGGTTCCAGCCTCCTAGGCCTCAGCCATGGGTTGACGCCTCGGCATCGCAAACAGAAGGGAGTTTAGGTTCAAAGGGTTCTTTCTTAAAAACACGAAGGGGAATCTTAAGAGACTAAGAAATGCGAAGCGATAAAGGAGAAGTCCAAAATACTACCTTGGGTTCTGGCTTTTCAAGAACGGAGACGATGAGGGCCTAGAAGACTGCCACTCGTTGAAAAAAACCAAAAAGAAAAAAAAAGACTCACTAGAATCTACGGGGAAAGAGGACTGAAAGATTAGGGAAGCTTGGGAACGTTTTTTGTTCTACTTCTCCTTCTTCGAAAAATGGCTGGAGAGAACGAGTGAGATTCTTCAGACAGCAAAGCTCCGACGTTTCTCGAGCTGAATTTCTAAAGAAAATGACAAGAGTTCGAAAAGGTAAGCATGGGGGGGAGAAGACTCTATTTATGTAGGCCCTTTGACCCCATGATTTTGCACGAAGCACGAAAAGGCACATTCAATGCGCACGACCTCTAAACGATAGAAAATGACTGACAGTTGAAGTAATGATTAGACAGTTACAAACCCCTTTGATCTTCTGAAAGACACATGACCTTTTCATGTTAAGATCAAAGAGCTGGGGGAAGTTGATGAGACATTTTCACAAGGGCCTCAGATTGGTGACACGTGTCCTCAGCGTCGAGGAGCTTTCTCGCCTCCACCAAGGCCACGTGTCCTTGGCCTCAAAGGCCTCTGTTTGAAACTTGGTGTCGATGCATGTCCCTCGGCTACGGGACAAGCCTCCTTGGATTCGAGGGTACTTTCTCTGATCTTGCACAACCGTTTTAAATGCATGTTCCTCGGCTCACGAATCCTCGACTCCTTAGGAGGCTAGGGACTGCAAAGACACCCTGTATAAAGTATTTAGGGTGACAAACTGAGTGGGACGTTCAACCAAAGGGAGTCAGACACGTGGCATCAAGTGCAGGATAAAGAGTAAAAAGACAAGTTTGTCCCTATTGATATGCGATTAATAAAAACACGCATTTAATGTGTCATCAGTTGATAAGACGTTTACCAGGGCTTGATAAGTCAAGAAATTACAACATTGAATGCTTGGGGATCTGGACATTTAATGCTGTCACGTATAAGAAAGAATATTAAGTACTCGGCAAGCCGAACAATCAATACTGGAACATTCCCCATTAAAAGTAAGGGACACATTGTCCCATCTCTGAAGGCTATCCGTAGCCTAGGTTGTCAGCAATGAAGACCTTTTAAAGGTATAAATAGTCTTTAAAAACACATTGTAAAGGTACGCAATATTATCTAGCAAGAGGCATACAGTGTTTTCTTCTTTCCCTCTTTAAAAAAATTAACTTAATCGGCGGAAGGGATACGACGGAGAACACTCCGACGACCTTCTAACATTTTCTCTGTGTTCCAGGAATTTCTCGCGAACCTTCGGAATCGGTTTGATATCACCAGAAACAATTCATCATCAGTCCTTAGGTCCCCTTTGACCCTCTCAACCTATTCCTTGTTGTCAGATCCATTGTTTCGATAGATCAAATCTCACCGTGAGAGAAATCTGTTCTCATTTTAACTATTGTACAAAAATTTGCACGCACAACATGAAACAAATTGTGAGTGCCAGAGCGCTTCCAATAGTACCTCCTACCCTCATTGGACATAAGGTTTTTTTTTTCCCACCCTTAAAGACTTTTTTCGCTCATGCTAATGAGGACCTGGAGTTTGGTCTTATGAACTGTAGTTGGCTTACCCAGATTTTTATATTCTGATGGCAACACAAAGGCACACCAAGAACACTCATGGCAAGATTCGTGACCTTAATTGTAGAGTTACTACTGAAGATTGCCCACTTCAAGAAATTAATGAGCGAGAGAAACGGAGAGAGAGCACTTAAGTTTAAATTATCCATACAAATCCATGGATTTACAACAAACACTAGAAACATATGAAGAAATTTGGTTCACAACCCAACTTTTGGAATACAAAAGTAAATCAAACTCAAAATGATCTTGGTTTTGCAACGATTGTGGAATGCTTCAGAATGTGCAAACTGAACTGCCCACCCTTTTCTGAAGTATCAACCTTTGACTGTCCTGGAGGAGGCAACAACTCAAAATTCTGCACCAGACGCCCCAAAGTGATGCCAAGAATAGGCAGAGCAAGAATAATTCCAGGGCAGCTCCTCCTACCGACCCCGAATGGAAGGTACCGGAAGTCATTGCCACTGGCCTCAACCTTAGACTCCTCTTCCAAGAATCTCTCTGGCCTGAACTCTTCTGGGCTCTTCCAGTGAACAGGATTGTTGGCGAGCCACCAAGCATTGACCAAGATTTTGCTTTCAGCAGGGATGTCATACCCACCAAGTTTGGCGTCGTGTAGGTTCATGTGAGGCACCAAAAGAGGAATTGCCATCCTGAGGCGAAGGGTCTCTTTGACCACAGCCTGAAGGTAGGGGAGTTTCAGGGTGTCGGGCTCGGTGATTTGGTGTCCAGGTCCAAGCACAGTGTCAAGCTCATGGCGCAGTTTCTTCTGGATTTCAGGGTGGTTAACAAGTTCTGCAATGCCCCATTCGATAGACCATAGTGTTGTTTCGATAGCTGTTTCATCACAAACACATTAGCATGTGCTAGTTTAATCCCTCGTAGAACATTTGCTCATAAAAATTCAGAGAATGAGAGCATTGGATAACATCACAAATAATCAGAGGATCAGATCATTTTTTTATGTTCAACAGCAAAATCTTTGAGAGAGGAATGGTTCATATTTACAATCTGAAGCTGTGATCTCACAACGCCATTTGGAAGACACATACTTTAAAAAAAAATTCAAGATTGGGGTAATTTTGTGCATTCCCAGATTAAGTTGCAAACTCAAGTTCAAATGACACATGGTTGGGATTTTTATCGGTTAAAATAAAAAAAAATCAAAGGTCAGAAAATCTAATGTGAGTGGTTTCCGACGTAGGTAGGTTAATGTAGAGAAGTTGCAACATTCAAATAGTGGGTTGGCATTGATCACAGGTTGGTTGGAATGGTAGGGCCAAGAAGGACTTGATGGCCTACCCTCTGCAAATATTGAGCAACAAGGTATAGGATTAAATAGGTCACAGTGCATTTCCCACAATTTAAAAATGGAAAAACCTATCATTACAATGAAGTGGTTGCTAAATCAGGCATCATTTCCTCACCCAACCTATGTTAATTAAATTTTCTTCAATTCCATCATGATCAAGTCTGTCCCTTAATTTGCTATTTTTTTCTTTTAACCCCCAACATAAAATAAATGGGCAGTTAGGTGTCTTTGTTGTGATGCACTTTCAGTCATCCAACTCCATAAAAGCTTCACCTAAACACCTTATCTCAATGAGTCCAATTTACATCATCCAATAAAAAGCCGCCATGTGTAATATTTCCTTATTCTACTATTTTTTGTTAATTTATTATTTTTTCAATCAAAAATTATAAATTATTTAAATTAAAATCAAAGATCCAAATCTATTTTTGGCATGGTATGTAAAGTAATATCCTTCTCTCCACTACAATTAATGTAGATATCATGAGTTCGAATTTTGAAAACGCCTTGCAGTCAAATTACAAGAGATTTATCCTCTATAAACTTCCTAATTCCAGCGTGGATAATTTGTATTTGATTCTTCTCTATTTTCTAGTTCCGGCATGAACGACTTATCTTTAATTAAACTTAAGAGAGGATTAGTCGAGTTTACATAAGCTAATTCGGACACTCCCAATGATTGAACTAAAAAAAAAAGAAGCAAAAGCAAAAACAAAACTAAACATCTAACTAGCTGACCCCAACAATTGAAAAGAATTTCATTGTTATCCCCAAGTTTCTTTATTTTTCTTCATATGTTTTTTGTTGATTGACCAAGTTCGTGATAGATAGGTTGATCTATTCTCTGCTATGTATCTTAATACAAATGAAGTTCTTCCCTTCTCTAAGAAAAAAGGCATAAGAGTCATAATAATCTATATTGCTTATAAATGTCACTATTTGTGAAAAAATTTTAATTTTTTATTTTATCCCTAATTATTATACTAAAATCAATTATACTCATCTATATTCTTTCATCTAATTTTTATTTTTTACTCTTATTTAACTTTTAACTTATTTTTGACTTTTTATAAAACCTTCTAAATTTTTTTGAACATATTTATTAATAATAAAGTTACATACAATTTTTTGTATGTATATAAAACAAAATCCTATATATGTTAAATTATTATACACGTATATAAATGTAGACGTAACATCTTATAAAATGGAAGGGGCATTGAAAACAATCCAAACATTAATAAATTTAAAAAGGGTTAAAATAAACCTATCATATTGTAACTTGTCAACTATCCCACCATTTTCGCATACTTGTGAAGACCCCGCACCAAGAAGCTTTGACAATTCTCCAAATCTATATACAATTTAATTGCAATATCTTCAAAGCTGACTCAAGCCTTCGACACACGCAATGCTAAATAGAATCTCAAATAGATCTGGACCCTTGGATCAACGGTTCTCGTGCATCCAAAATTTTCTACTCACTTGGGATGATATCTACATGTGTCCTATGCTAACCCATTCAACTACCAAAGGCTCATCCAACACAATGACATTTGACACCGGCATTTAATGAAAACGATAGGGTTAAGACAGTGACTGTAATTGATTCAATAGCAAAAGGGATAAGATTCATATGCAAATGGCATTATTTACTGCTGTTCAAAGTATGGCGAGCTATTCTGACTTTCTAGAGGCTGGTGCACATGCATCATCGAAGTTTTATTAGTAAAATATTATTCTTCTTTGAGTTTTCTTTGTTTATTTTCATTAAAAATATTAGAGGTATTCCATGACAATTTATTAGGCAGTTATTTTATAGAAAGAAAGATAAAAAAAAAAAAAAGCAGAGAAAAGTGGGAGCAAACTGATTTGATGAAAACTTTGAAAGGTCAACCCAAGGAATAGATCAATTGATAATAGACAAATTATAAATTCAAATGTCTTAAATTTGAATCTATACAACTCCTTAGATACCCTAATTCTAGACTGCCCCGACCGCTGAACCAAAAACAAACTTTGAAAGAGAGTAAAAGACCAACATGAGACACAACAATTGAAAGGCTAGAAATCTTAAATTTGGCATACCAAATTAGTAAGACCCATGGATCAATGACTCCTGTTAATTTTTTTTTTTCAATGAACCTACTTATCCAACAATTCCAATTCATTTGAGATATCATTTTAATTATTACTAAATTTGAGATGCAAAATATTTCCCACCTAATCTCTATACTAACAGATAAATATTACAAGATTTTTTTTTTTCTTTTTTTGAACAATATAGATATTAGAAGTTAATGCCCATATTTTCGCGAAAAAAATTGTAAATACCAATAAAATAAGTAAAATAAAGATGAGGCAATGTATACCGGCAACGTTAATGTTCTCAACAATGTAAAGAACGTTGTCCTCGTTGATCTCTCCCTTCTGTTGGGCTTCAAGAATGTGATCTATGGCGCATTTTATACCGTCCTTATCCATCGCCTTTGTGCTTGCTAGCTTCCTGCAATAATTCAAATAGTAAATATTATAAATTTATTACATTATTTACAAATTACAAATTCCAAAAACAATTGTTGTTCATAGACATCTCTAGTGAAGCCCCATAAAAGAGTAAAAAACTTGATTTAGTATAAAATTCTCAAATATGTTATCTAGACTTCAAATTTTGACCTAATTTACGATATTTTAATGAACATTAAATTCTAATATTTGATGAGGAGCCTAAAATCAATCTAAATATTATAGTAAATTAGGTCTCTCAGCTTTAAAGTTTGAATGATAAAAAAGGGTTCATACATTTACCAAAAAATAAAAAACAAAAAGGCAATAAGGGGGAAAAGTAAACTCACTTTCTCTCTTCAACGAAATAGTCCTTGAACAACTGCAACCTTCTCTCCTTCACTTCCTTGCAGATCCTCAAATACCCTCTCAAGAAAGGCCTCAAAATGGGAATAAAATCACCATAGTTGTACTCAAAGCTCTGAGCCAACCTACTTCTCTCTCCATTTAAGGCCTTAAGCTTCACAAACAACGGATCATCCTCACTCTCGAATCTCCGATCAAACATAATCCTATACATATTGTTATACATCATAAGTTGCAATCTCCTCCTCAAAACAATCCCATTCTTCGCCGCTTCTGGGTTGTTCTTCACGTCCTCAACCACACGCGCCGCCTCTTCCTCCCACCCTGGCCTATATTGCTGGACAACCTTGTTGGTGAAAAAGGGTACAGTCATAATCCTCCTCATCTTCCTCCAATGTTCGCCGTAGACGGTGAACACCATGTCTTGACCTTTTCCGGTGAAGATATCGAACACCACGTTTCGGGTTCTTGACCCGAATTCCACCCCCTGGGTGTGAAGAACGTCTTTGGCAAGGTCTGGAGATGAGACCACAACGAGGTTTCGTTGACCCATTCGGAGTAACAAGAGTTCTCCGAATTTTTTTGCCAAATCGGTGAGGTTTCGGTGGTTCAAGTCATCGCCGACTTGAAGCCAGTTTCCAAATACGGGTACTGGGATGGGTCCAGGAGGGAGTTTGAAGCGCTTGCCTCGAAGCTTAGAGACAACAATGGCGACTATAATCGCGAAGAATAAAGCTAAAAGGGTCTTCTCTAGGAAGAGAAGATCCATGGCGCAGGTGAAAGAAAAGGGCGGTTGAGGGATGGCGAGACAAGAGACTGGTGGTGGGTGTTGCTGGGAGTCACTGGTGATTGAGTGGGGATTTATAGAATGGTGACGGTGATGGTGTAGCGGCTGAAGAATTGGGCCCCGCCGGGGGGCGTTAGGTGGAGTGTGTGCAGTGGGTGAATTGACGGCGTTAGATTTAACTGCGAATTTTGACGTTTTATAAGGAAAGAAGGGGTTAGGTAAGACGAGGGGTTGGTGAGGCCAGAGCCCAAATGTCAAACTTGATTGATTTATTACCATCGAGTGTTTGATTAAAAGAGTGCCACTGCCACCCAAACAATCAAGGGGAGGTCCACGGTACCGCGCCGCTTTAAATTCGGTACGGTACCAAATAAAAGCGTGTGACCCTCAGTTTTTAATATTAAATATTAAAATTTTATTTATTAAAGATGCGATAATTTTTATAGACCAAATTATCACACTTTTAATAAGTAATTTTTTAATGTTTAATGTCAAAAATTGAGGACCACACATTTTTTTTGATACCGTAACAATTTTGATCGGACAGTACTTTTTTTGATACCGTAACAAATTGAGGACCACATGAATCTAATGTAATCTTGCCTTTGGAAAATTCTTCATAATAATTTAAATTATTCTAAAATATTGGTCAAATTCAACTTATTTAGAACATAAGACAAATTCGAATTGAGTCTTATATGAATTGAATTTGGGCAAAGTCTGAATAACTCGATTCGATTATTAACAACGACTAAGAAATACTAAAAAACGAACTATGTTTTATAATTGAACCTGGTCTCATCAATCGCAAACAACTTGATTGTCATTCCTACCCATATAATCTACAAATCAAATTCTACCCCTAGGCTATTTCTTGTTTTTGGAAAGAGAAAAAAACATAAATGATGTATTAAACAACTAGTCTAAAGTATACTTTGACTATTATATTTTTGAAACCTACAATCCAGTTCATGTTATAATTTGTGGGATAACGATCCCCCACCCTTTCATTCTAATCGCCTCCGCCAATCCCTCCGCCTTCTTAGGCCGCTACGCCACTAGAAAATATTTATTAAAACGGTAATATTACATCAATTTTGTTATATAGTATCACTAATTAATAATATATAAACAAATAAAAAATATAAACTTCACATAAATTAATAATTACTTTCCATATAATATTTTATTATTAATTAGTAAAATTTAACTTATCTATTTAATATTTTATTATTAATAAGTGATATTATATAATAATATTAAGATGACGTCAGTATTGCATCAAATATATACTCCTGTAACACCCCCCATCACCCTATGTGGCAGGCAGCCCCCTCTCTACCTTGCCTAGCTAACAAAACTAACAATGAACTCCTCTCTCCCACCAAACACACGCTTCTCTTTTTTAGGTTTGTAAATATTTTATCAAATATACAATTAAGTCTGAATATAATTATTATTTTTTGAATTAGAGTTTGGATGACATTAGTCTAGGATTTAATTGATACTTTGCTTCAAATAAATCTCAATGGTGGGCTACAATTTCTACAACTTGGAATGACATAATACAATTATCGTTTATCTCAGGGGTAGTATATATAATTTTCTAAAAAAATAAAAAACAAATGTGATTCATTTGTAAATCATGTTCCACTTTTGTTATTGGTGCGACCAGGAATAGTGCCTAAACGTGACATAATTTTTTTTATAATTAATTTCTTGGGCCGGAGAGATTAGGTAACGTGACTTGTTAGCTACTGGTGCACTTTTTCCTGTTAGAAGTGCTCGCCGGCGAATCTAGAACAGGTTTCAGATCTTTTTCCATTCAAATCTTAGTGCACTGTGATCTAACTTACATTGAATTTTGTAATGCTAACATTAAGAAAAATAAAAAAAAATAAATTCAGTGTATTTGATGGGACTCTTCTGAAAAAGCCTATGATGAATACACGTGTCCTCGGGGGTTTCTAGAACAATGTTGCTCGGGTTCAAGCACCATCGGCAAAGCGTCCTCTCCCCCGAGGTACCTCTCATATAGGATCACATTTCGGTACAGTATACAATGACATGTGTCCTCGGTCACCATGTACCTCGGGAACACACCACCCCTTGGTCCCCCGAGGTGAGCCTTTCCTCGGCGCCGAGGGTCACTCCATCCTGGACGCTTCCCCTACTCCCGGATAAAGCTACTGACAAACTGGACATCAGCCTATGCCAGTATGGACTAGTCATCATGACCTCTTCTTACACAAGTAATGTCAGAACATGCTGGAGTACAGAAGTCATAGCCAATACGTGACGGACGCGTGGCATATGATATCACATCAAAAACAGGCAAACCGCACGCTATTGCTGACATGCGCTTTGGGAAGCAAACAATTAATTGCACCCTTCTGTTGACGAGACCGCATTCAATGCGGTAAGGTCCGGAGATGAAAGGCAATAAATGCTCCTATTACGGAGCATTTATTACATCCTTCCCGAAAGGAGCATATTGTACCGTCGGTGTCCCGACGACTCAACATTGATTGCTCGGGATCCCGAGCAGTCAATTAGAGAAGACATTCCTCGTCAAATCAATACACACGCTGCCAGTGCCTGATGATCACCTACTGACCACACTGACAGCAATCATGAGCTTCTAAGGTATAAATACCCCTCCCAAAAAGGCAAACGGGTATGCAATCACAAACTCTCTACTACGAAATATCCTTCTCAGTGTTTTCTCCTTCCTCTCTCTCATTCAAAGACTGACTAGACCGTCGGAGGGGATACGCCGGAAAACACTCCGGCGCCCTTCTAACTTGTTCTCTTTTGTCCCAGGAAATACCTTTCGCACGTACAGGATCGTTCCTCCTTTCCCAGGATCGTAAGCTGTTTCGAGCAGTGTGTTTGGCCACTCAATCGGCTCACCCAAAGTTCACCGGGGGAGAGATCTGTTCCCAATATTTTATATATCGTGCAGGATCAAGCCCGCACAATCTGGCGCCGTCTGTGGGAAACGAGTAGTTTTCCTAATCTTTTCTCTAAAAAGAACAGTGACCATGGTGAACACCAGACAGAAAGGGAAAGGACCCCACCAACGGAGTCATGAGTTGCAAGCTCCCTGCCATCACGGAGGGAGGGATCGCACCAGTACGATTAAAAGTGCCTTTACTCGGTCAAGGGGGGTAACCCCTCAAACCAGTATGGGTATCAGGTCAGGAGGATCAGCCCCCTTGGCCCGTCAGCTGGCAGAGGTGATTGAAGAGAAATTTGGCGATAGATTACGTCAGCTGGAGAAGGACAATGTAAACGTCCTTAGCCGGCTCGACGAGTTTGCTGCCTCAGGCGGAGGGTCGAGGGATTCATTCCTCTCCCGAGGACTCCCCGTCCATGAGGCGGAGACAAAGGATCTAAGGAACCACCTGGATCACAAAGCAGAGAGCTCCAGGGCCCCGAAGCGACCCAAAGCCGGCGAATGCCATCTTGACAACCATTCCAGGAAAGCAAGGCCATTGGCCCTGGACGACCTCCGGCGAGGTTTATCCAGACGGAGGAAGGGAGATGAATCCGAGGAGGACTCAACCCAATCTACACGACGCCCAGGAAACGAGGGGCTTACCGACGAACCCAGAGACTTCAGGAGGCATCCCGTAAGGGGAGAAGTAGATCTCAGAGCCCGATTAGACTCCAGGAGAAAGGGCAAGACGATCCAGGATGAGGCCGAGGACGAAGTCATGCAAACACCCTTCACGAGGGAAATCAGCGAGATGGACGTCTCAAGAAAGTTCGTCGTGCCACTGTTCAAGACCTATGATGGGCGATCTGATCCCGATGCCCATATCAGACAATATAAGCAGATGATGTCCCTCTATCATTCGGACCAACGGTTTCTATGCCGGGTGTTCCCTATGAGCTTGGGGGACTCTGCGATGAGGTGGTTCGAGGCGCTTCCCCCAAATAGTATTGGGTCCTGGAAAGAATTGACGAGGCAGTTCCTAACCCGATTCATCACGGGGAGTAAGCGCCCCAAGGATATTGGATCACTACTGACCCTCAGGAGGAGGGAATCCGAGACTCTTCGCCAGTACGCCATCCGATACTGGGAAGAAGTCAATGAGGTCGAGGGATGCTCGGAGGTCATGGCAGCAACATCATTCCGGCTCGGCTTGGCGAGGGACACGGACCTGTACCGATCCCTGACCAAAAAGACTCCCTCGGATATGGGGGAACTGATGGCCCGGATCAACAAGTACTCAAGGGTCGAGGACGAGATGGGGAGCAACAAAGGCCGAGCCCTCCAACCCAAGAGAAAGGAAAAAGAGCACGAAGATATTCCCCGGAAGTGATTGCTACCCCGTCCAGGGGGTTCGTCCAGAGGAGTTCACACCGTCTTCAAGGAACCCATCTTCAGGTTGCTCCATAAAATCAAACATGAACCGTTTTTCAAATGGCCGCCCAGGATGCAAAGCGACCTCTCCACCCGTGATCAAACAGCAAGATGCTCATATCACCGGGATGTCGGGCATCGCACCGAGAGCTGCAGGGTGTTCAAGTCATTCTTGGAGAGCTTAGTCCGAGATGGATATCTGAAAGAATACATAGAGCCCAGGCCAGAAGAGAAACGAGCTCATGCCCCGACCGAGGAACCAAACAACGTCATAGACGTCATCCATGTGTGTCCGCTGGAGCGCCCCACGTCCAAAGAGCTTGAATCCGACCTCAAGAGGGTAGCTTTTACCAGAAAGGTAGCCGAAGGAGGTGTGGGGCCATCAAGCAAAAGGGCCAGGATGGGTGAGCTTGGCATTATGTTCTCTGACGCGGATTTGACGGGCGTGGTGATTCCTCATAATGACGCCCTTGTCTTAACCCTGAAGATAGGGAAATTCGATGTCAAGAGAATCTTGATTGATTCAGGGAGTTCCTCGGAGGTGATGTACTTTGAGACTTTGAAGCGGATGGGCTTTGGCCCCAAAGATTTGACCAAAATCAGGACACCCCTCATCGGGTTCAACGGCTCTTTCGCCTTGCCCGTGGGGAAAATTACATTACCGGTCGCCACTGGTCCCTTTGTCATCGACACAGAGTTTGTGGTGATCGACACGGACTCCCCTTACAACGTGATTATGGGGCGAACATGGCTACACGCGTTGGGAGCGGTACACTCCACTCTCCACCAGAAGTTGAAGTTCGCCACGCCAGAGGGCGTCATGGAGATCCGGGGAGATCAAGCGTCTGCGAAAAACTGTTTTTATTCGGCC